AAGACGAGTTGTATGAGTGGAATAAGTCTCTGGAGTCTCATGTACAATCAATCGTATTTGACAGTGGTAAGCAGCTCGACTTCTCCTGATCACTGTTGTTGTCACTAACAATACGTGTGCAGCTCATCATTTTGAGCATCAGATTGACCGATACACCGCTTTAGCCCAAGTTCTCATGACCATCGCCTTCATCTGTCACATCGTCATGGGGATCAGTCGTCGCAACGCGGAATTCATCGTCGGTGCCATGGTGCTTTGCCTCAACATCGCTAGTTTCCGTCCTGGAGATGTCGCGCTGCAAACGTCATACCAACATCTCCCTACATCCCTCCAAGCCATCTTGCCGAAGTTTGGTGCTGGTGGTCATTTCGTCGCATATGCTGTCTGTCCTGTCTGCCATCACACATATCCACCTTCTGTCACCGGTTCATACCCCCAAATCTGTACCAACAAGCCGTTGCCAGATACAGAGTGTCATGAACAACTTTGTGACAACAAGGGCAATCCGTTGAAGACGTTCCTCTATCACTCTTTTCCTGATTATCTATCAGGCCTGCTCTCAGACCCAGATCTGAAGAGGGAAATGGACAACGCGACGTCGTCTGTTGCGGACGCTGCGTTCATGGACCTCAACGATGACACCATCCGAAGCCCCTTCCACGCCTCTTTCCTGCAATCGTTCCGTGGGGCGGACGGGGAGTTCTTCATGACGGATTGCGCGGATGGTCGTTACGCCTTCTCCCTGTGTGTCGACTTCTTCAACGTTGAAGGGATGAATATTCGCGGGGCCCGTACCTCCTGTGGCATCATCGCGTTAGCCTGCTTGAACTTACTGGTCGATATCCGCTACAAACCTCAGAATATGTACCTTGCTGGCATTATCCCCGGCCCCAAAGAACCACCGCTCACTGCGACTAATCACTATCTTCGCCCACTCATCGATGATATGGTCAAGGCATGGCATCCCGGAATATACGTTTCTCGGATGGCTCTCCGTCCTCACAGTCGCTTGATGCACAGTGTCATCGCCAATGGTGTGTGCGATCTTCCTGCCGCCTGTAAGACATCATCGCTTGCCCCGTCTATTTCCAAAATCTTTTGCTCGCTGTGCGACTGTTGGCATGTTACCGATGACAAAGGCAACATCATCAAAGACTGGTGTCGTCTCCTCAATCGCATGGATTACGAGGCCTGGAATATGCGTGACGGGTCTGAAATGTGTTCCTTTGCGGAGCGTTGGCGTGATGCGAGCTCAACACGAGAGCAGGATGACATATTTAAGCGGCATGGAGTCCGCTGGTCAGAGCTGTGGCGGCTACCTTATTGGGACCCCACCATCCAACTCGTCGTCGACCCCATGCATTGCTTGTATGAGGGGCTTGCCAAGTTTCATTTCACCACTGTCCTTGGTCTATCGGACCCCAGTGTGACAGACGCTGCAAAATCTCAACCGGCCTTCTCATGGATGTTCGCGCTGCCACCTATCGATGATGAAGACATTGGACTTGGCGATGTCGATTCCGTCATCAACGTCCCCCCCGACCTCGGACCTGGCGATGCCCATTCCATCATCGACGTCTCCCCAGACAGTCAAGATGACAATGGCTTGAACATCAATGTCTCCGCTGATGTGCCCGACGTGGTTTGGACGCAGAAGCAGGTGAAGGACGTGCAGAAAGTCCATTCCTTGTTGACCTCACCGGTTCGGTCTTCGGATGTCTCACCAGGTTTGTCGTTCGGTGAACTTCGGGACCACCTTTTGCAACATATGGCACAATCTCTGCGCTTCGTAGCAGATGATTTGGATCTTCATGTTCAACCCGTTCATCGTCGTTCACCAACGAAAGCAGAGTTCGTGATCGCGATGATTGAATGGGTTCGTGATATCTTACCTGTTAAGTTGATTCCTGACTCTTATCTGATCACAGCGCCGCCATCAATCGCTCCAACCGCCAGCGCAACCAGTTTCATCAACTGATATGTTACACCGGCTTCGTGAGGTTATCCGAAAGGTCATGAAACCATCGTGGGTTGAGGCCATCCCGGAGGACTTTGGCGCTGCCAGTGCCGGGACACCGAAAGTGGCCGAATGGCGTACACTCTTCAGAATCTACCTACCGTTGGCCCTTGTTTCCCTACTGTCGGAGGGCACGTCCCCCCAGTTCATGGACATGGTTGATAATACGATGGAACTCGTCCTTGCCTTGATCATTGGCTGCCGTGGAACCACGTCCGAGGAACATGCCGCTGCCTACCATGAGCACTTGCGCAACTACATTGAAGGGATGCAAGTTCTATACCCGACCTTGCAATGCAACTCGATACACCATCTAGCCTTCCACATCTATGACTTCCTACTCATATTCGGTCCAGTGCCATTGTGGTGGTGTTTCCCTTACGAGCGTCTCATAGGCAAACTACAACGTACAAATCACAACCACGTCTTCGGCGAGCTTGAGGCAACTATTCATCGCACTTTCGTTTACACCAGCAGCCTCTTTCGATGGCTGTCGCGACCTTCATGTCCAGACATTGTCCTCGCGTGCAAACACCTCTACGACAAGGTTTACACCAGTCAACGTGATGACATTCTGATCATGGCCGACGACGAGGACACGTTATCCACCACAGTTCCAGTCCCCGACATAATGGCCGACATCATGAGCGGCCATGTCAAGCTCATCGTGCGTAATCATCTGCGGTGTCACCGTCAGGTCTTCAGCACTTGGCGGGCTCACCAAGGTAATAGCCGCGTCGCCCACATTTTCCACCACCAGCTCCGGGTGGGATGGATTGAATACATATACCGCGACGGAGGCGTGTGGATGTACGCGATACAGCACTTCCGGTGCTCCGAGCCTGGTCCATTTGCAAAGTGGCCCGCTCTTGGCGCCTTGATATGTTCCATAGACATGGAAGAGGAACTTTTCCCGGTCGAATCCAAGAACGTCGTCCACCATGTTGCTATGTACCCGATATCGGATACTTCCCTTGCTGCCATTCGTTTAACGCCATCAGTACGTATCTTCTTTCCCTGCCTCCTTTCTTGTGAGTGTCGCCTTGCACGACGTGTCATCGCGACACCTCGCCGTCCTTTGACCATCCCTCACCGGTCACATATGTGGTAACTGACATCGGCCGGCGGATCTCGACGACGGGCTTTGAAGACCCACTTATGGGGTACTGAGCGGGTGCTCACGGGTCGCTGACTGGACCGCTCAATCTGCATCGGTATGGAATTTGAAACTCTCGCCTCCTCAGTCGGAAAAAGAGTAATTGAAATTCTATCCTGTGTTTTCACCTCGCGCATTCTTGAAAATCTAACATATCGTATATGCCTAATTGTTCTTATAATGTAGCTGTAGATACGCTCATCGTGTTCACTTGAAATTCCCCACTCATTAGTTCTTGAAATATCAAAAGGCATGCTGAATACACTTGGTTTTAAAATGTGGGTATATGTTTCCGTCTTTTGTGATTGAGCGACCGATCTTCAAAATCTCATCCGCGCACGGTTATAAATTCAACACATATCTGAACTCTGATCCCACCGCCGTGTATGTAGGGCACACCTTAGTGCTATATAGCTCACACATTAGTGCTACTGAAACTATATATCCTTATGTAAACTCTACAGCAATCATATGCTCAATAGATATTGTAGTCATCTGAATAAAATTACTTTTTATTTATTTATTATATATCACTCATAATCAATCAAAATCCTAGTAAAAAAGCATTGATTTCCATCATATTCTATTTAAGTTACAAAAGTACTACGAGGTGATTATGTAAGCAATGCATACAAGCTGCAGATACGGCAAAGCTGTCGATTTTGCTACTGCAGGTGCATGGCAGGGACTGAGCCGGGCCCGTCGAGTCGGCTAGTGCTCAGCGTTGGGCGCAGGGAGGAGCCAAAGCCAAAGTGTGGGGGTGGGGAGTAGAAGCGACGCCAAGCGAGACCGCGTTGGCAGCTCAGGCTTGGCGTTGGGCAAAGAGCGGTGGTGAGGGCGAGGATGGGGGCGACACCGAGCGCGACCGTGTTGGCGGCTCACACTTGGGGCTGGTTGAAGGGAGGCCACGAGGGTGGTAGGTGATGCCAAATGCAACCGCATTGGTGACTCGCGTTTGGCGTTGGGCAAAGGGGGGCCGCAAGGGTGGGAGGCAACGCCAAACGCGACTGCGTTGGCGGCTCACATTCAGCGTTGGGCAAAGGGGGGCCAGAGATTGGTAGGCAACGCCGAGCGCGACCACGTTGGCGGCTCGCACTCGGTGCTGTGGGAAGGAGGATGTGAGGGGAAGCCGAGTCCAACCGCGTTTGCAGCTCGAGCTCGGCGTTGGACGGAGGGGAGCAAGAGGCAGGAGGCTGGCAGGAAGGTTGCACCCAGTGAGACCACGTTGGCAGCTCTCGCTCAGGGCTGGCAAAAGGTGGGCAAGGATGTGGAAGGATGCGCCGAGCGCAACCACATTGGTGACTCGCACTCAGGGAAGGGCAGACGGCAGGGGCGGGGGTGGAAGCAGCGCTGAGCGCAACCACGTTGGTGGCTTGCGATAGAGGCAGACGGCAGGGGCGGGGGTGGAAGCAGCACCGAGCGCGACCGCATTGGCTGCTCACGGCTGGCGCTGGGCGGAAGGCGGGCAGGCAGCAGAATTGGCGCTGAGCACGACCGCATTGGTGGCTTGTGCTTGGGGCCAGGCAAATGGCAGAGGTGAAAGTTGGGGGCGGCAGGTGGGCACTTCGAGTGCTGGGAGTGGTTTGTGACAGTGAGCGCAGGGACTTGCACGTTGATGCACGCACTTGCAAGCGTGGCACTGGGCGTACTTGACAGCGCTGAGTTGTGCGCACTTGCCAGTGCGGTGGGCTGAGACGGCAAGCCACATTTGCCAGCGCGGAGGGCAAACACGTGTCACGGCCAGGTCACGTGATGCATGGGTGTGCATTGAATCTCTAAGTCCGCGTTGGCCACTGTGTCTCACATAGTCCACAAGCTCCTTGATACTTAGCAACCTTGTACATAGTTTATTCATGCATATATCTGACAATGTATAGGCTAACATTACAGTTCAAGACCTGAGACTGACTTAGATTATGGACGGTGTAAGTTGGGAGCCCTGCTATCACCACTATACAGATACATACCAGATCTATGGGTGCTATATTGACTGCACCTATGAGCTATGTGTCACTATGTAGCTAGTACTTTGAACTATACTACCTATAGTTACTATATAGCACGATATAGCGACTGACCTACTTCTACATAGCAACCATAGCACTATATAGCAACTGGGCAACTTCTATATAGCAGCCATAGCACTACAATAGTGTCCATAGTTCTGAGGAGCAGCTATATAGATCAAGATTTTTTCAGATGATAGCTATGGAGTTTTACCAGATGAGTGCTGATTTCTCTCTGCGTACTAAGGACGAGTTCATGCTGCATATGTTTATTGCATGGTCCCTGTTCACCCAACTAGCCTATTCCGCACATCACGCCATTGACAAACAAGCACATACAAAGGTAAGTACCAAGACTATACTCGATGTGCCCAGGACTTACCAAAATTCAACAGAATAATGCTATAAAGTAATAATGCTACACATGACCTAGAAGATGTTGACATGGAAGGATCGGATTTCTATGGACCCCCTAGCATCAACATGCTCATCCTTTCACCGCCGTCACCACTCACACTCAGTGGGCCACTGACCATCTTTCAGATCTGCAGCACTAAGAAGGTCAATGTACCATTGGCTATCAGAGTACTTTTGATGATATTCACTAGGATTTATATAGACATCATGTCTCAGGAAAAATCTACATTGCTATGGCAGGCTATATATACTATAGAGTACTACCATAGCACTACCATAGCACTCTATAGCTTCTATAGCTCTGGGGTTTTGCCAGATGGTATATACCCAAGGCACAAGGGTATTGCTATATAGTTGCAGCTAGAGGCAGTCTCACACAGGTGGCAGAAGGCTATGCACTCAAAAGAGCTGACACTGCTAGCCTTTGTAAATTCTTTTGGCAAGAAATCATATCTAGATATGGTGCCGTTGCTGAAGTGATCACGGACAATGAAAAGGAAGTTTAAGACACATTCAAACAACTGGTAGACATGTACAGTGATCCACTACTCCTGTGGACAGCACCACTCCCTTGGACAACGGCTAATTCCTCAACAATGTGACACTCTTTCCAATCCATTATTTTTCTACACATGTATTCACTATGTACCCACATCTTGTAGTGACTATTTTGAGTTTCTGTTTTGTTGTGCCCGGATGGAAAATAAAAAACCATGTTGTGGCTGTGCAGTCAAAAAAAATTGTTTTGGCTCTTGTGCACCAGGGATTGGTTTAGCCTCAACATAATTTACATATCATAATAGTACATGCTTGAATGTACTATCTCATGTTTTTACTGTGATGATACTCCGTGTTTTGAGCTCACAATGTCTAGTACACTTCAGCCAGGCCTCCAGGACCATTGTCATGTGATGCAGCAGAGGCAGCCAAAAATTTTCCCACACTTATTGCACCCATCGTGCAGCAGCGATCTTGTGCTCTCGAAGAGCAACCACAATGATCAGAGCTTGCACACACCTGTTTGAACTGTTGCACCATGGTAGGACAACATGTTCCTGCAAAGAGGAAGGAGGAGGAGCAGAGGGCTATCAAGAATAAGCTCTATGATGAAGCCAAGGAGCTGTACAAGGTAGAGGAGGCTAAGCCCAAGGGTGATGCTACTAAGGGGAGTCTCTGAGCTGTCTGCAAGATGGTGTCAGATGCACACTTTGCGGAGACAGCTACCCGGGTCAGGCTCCATCCTCAAACCTTGTCCAACCGCTTTCATAGTGCTGTATCTATCAATTAGTTTAATAGGACCAAGGAGACACTCACTCTGGAGGAGGATAGGATTGTTGTAGATTTTCTACTAGGTTTGGCCGCTCATGGCTTCCCCCTCAACTATTCTTGTCTTTGGTAACATGCTGAGACAATTGCTTGAGCTCGACTTGGCACAGAATTTCCTGAGGAGGGCTTGGGTATCAACTGGCCCAATCAGTTTGTGAAGCCACATCAAGACAAGCTGAAGACTTGCTGGTCACAGCCTCTCGACTCGAAGCAGAGCCATGCTGTTAAACATGCAACCAAGAAGGCATGGTTTGCCCTTCTGGAGAAGGTATTGGTGGAGGAGGAAATTGATGAAGAGTGCATTTATGCAATGGACGAGACAAGTTTCCAAGCTGGAGAGGGCAAGAAGCAGCAGGTGATTGAACGTGCAGGCACTTACCACCAACTCCAGCAGCATAGTGGAGGGAGGCAGCAAATATCATGGCAATTGTCACAATCTGTGCTGATTGTTCTTACATCCCTCTGGCTATCTTGCATGCAGGTGGTGTATTTCTGCCAACATGGGATCAGGAAACTCCCTTAGGCTCTTTGTGAGTTCATCTGCACAGAATATGAAATTAATTGATTAATATGGTCTCAGTCTTGGGTATTCTGCAAAAGGTTGGACTGATGGCGAGATTGGTGCATTATGACTTCAAGATTTTGATAATAAGACATGTGCTAAGGTATAGTCTCATGCTCGTATATTAAGACATAAACTCACTGCATACAAACTAGGCTGGTGACTGCAAAAGACTATTGCTCGTTGACAGTCATAATTCACATCACACCATCGACTTCCTTGAATATGCTCAGGCGCACAACATCATGGTCCTCCTGTGCTATCCAGCACATACAAAACATATTATACAGGGTCTATAGATGTGGCTCTCAAGAGGTACTGGACAGAAGAACGGGATAACTACAAGCGCGAGTATGGTGAAGCAGTTTCCAAGAAGAACTTTATGGCTATCTACGGCGCTGCACATGTCTGTGCATTAACCCCTGATAATATCCGTGCAGCATTCAGGAAGGCTGGTATGTGGCCCTATAACCCTGATGTCATCACAAACAGCATGATGGTGCCATCTCAGGAGACTTCACAACAAGCATACATGTTTGTTCAGCTGTCACTGTCCACACCAGTTTGCATTCTCGCTGGGGCACTTCACGATCTGGTAGTTATGTAAGATTCTAATTGCCCCCACCACTCCTCCTACTGCTAGCAGCTCTGCAGCGACCTATGGTTCATGACAGACAGATGCTCCAAATTTCCAGGTTCCCTCCCAGCTTCAGGAGACATTTGACCGTCTCTCAAAATCCTCCGCATTGTATCTCTTGGGCAACTCCCCTGTCTCATCTGAGCAGCCATATCTGCAGATTAATCCTATCACAATCTCACCTGTGAAAGCTTCTCATGCAGATCTCCTATCTCAGGACCCAGCTACTGAGAGAGAAGCACTTTTGCAGCATGCACTTCAGGATGCTCGTGTGTCAGGGTAAGCGCTGGACCTCCTAGGAGCCACGCAGATCCCTCGGGACAGCGGCGGAGACGCTGTCACACAAGGCAGGGAGGCAACTGAGTATATATATGAAGGTACGAGGGAGAATACACATACCTGTCGCACAAGGCAAGGAGGCAACTGAGAGAACAAGTCTGGATTGCTCCGTGGTGCGACAGGCGACTATATAGTAGCTGAATAATCCATCAGCGCAACGAGAGATGGTCTAATGAGAGAAGAGGAGGGTCCTCGGGCACCCGACACATGACCAATGGAGCAGCCTAGGAAGGCCGCGTGGCGTGCGAAGGTCCTAGGAGCGCCGAGCAACAGAACAAAATAGGGGAGATGCCAAAAGGAGGGCGCGGGAAGCCTAGGAAGGCACGGGAGAGCGTGACTGAATAGGGAAGCAGAAGCATTAGAGGAAACGAACAAAACGAGACAGAAGCGGGACCAAAACAGGAACAATGGGACATGAGGCGAGTGTGGGAGGCGTGCCCTGACATTGTGTCCAAGAGGCATATCTCAAGGGTCAGCTACACGGTCAACAAGCAGGCATGATTTTGCAGAATGTTTATTGCGAGCGTGTATGCAGGCAGTTGTAAACACGTGAAAAATCAAGATTTTTACATGATTTCTTAGTCTAAAAATGCAGTCACAGACCTAGTGAGAAGAATTCTTACCCTTCTGCGGTGTCAGGGCACGGCTCCCACACTCGCCTCATGTCTCATTGTTCCCCATTCTGCTTCTGCTTCTGTCCCATTTTGTTCATTTCCCGCAATACTTCCGTCTCCCTATTTGGTCACGCTCTCCCTATTTGGTCACGCTCTCCCTATTTGGTCACGCTCTCCCTATTTGGTCACGCTCTCCCTATTTGGTCACGCTCTCCCTATTTGGTCACGCTCTCCCTATTTGGTCACGCTCTCCCTATTTGGTCACGCTCTCCCGTGCCCTCCTAGGCTTCCCGTGCCCTCCTTTTGGCATCTCCCCTATTTTGTTCTGTTGCTCGGCGCTCCTAGGACCTTCGCACGCCACGCGGCCTTCCTAGGCTGCTCCATTGGTCACGTGTCAGGCGCCCGGCGAGGACCCTCCCCTTCTCTCATTGGACCATCTTTTGTTGCGCTGATGGATTATTAAGCTACTATATAGTCGCCTGTCGCACCGGGGAGCGACCCAGACTTGTTCTCTCAGTTGCCTCCCTGCCTTGTGTGACAGGTATGTGTATTCTCCCTCGTATCTTCATGTATATACTCAGTTGCCTCCCTGCCTTGTGCGACAGCATCTCCACCGCCGTCCTGGGGGATCCGCGCCGCTCCTAGGAGCTCCAGCGCGTACTCTGACATGCGGCTTCTTACCCTTCTTACCCCCCTTAGCTTGCGTAGAGGGGGCAGGGGGGGCAGGGGGCTGCAGCACTTCAACCTTGGGCACCCGGAGGTCCATGACCTGACCTTCATGTTGTGCAACTATCAGGTCGAAGTCAGAAAGAAAATCTAATGACACTATCAGAAAAATAAGAGACTACTTACTACGTGCCTCCATCGAGGTCATCACAGACTGCATGGCCGGCAAAGTAGGCTGGACATCGAGTTTGATCTTTGCGGACTTCCACACAATCTTACCCTTGCCACTGATTTCAATTGGGACAAGTTCTTCCTCCGCTTGCTGCTTGTTAAGGAGAGCCAGGAGCTTACACTCCTTTGCCTCATGATGTGCAATATCACGGTATCAGTTCTGAATGCAGAACTGACAATCCTATATTAGGGGTATCAGTTTGAATCTGATCCATTAGCATTCAAAGTATAGGACATCACACACCTTGATAAGCTCCATCACAATGGTGGTGTCCTTGGAGAGGTCGACTTGAAGGGAAAACTTGATCACCTGAAGGCGGGGAAGATTGATTCCGAGGAGTTTGATATCCCAGCGTGGCACCTTAAGCTTTTCCTCCTCGATATTGGCACTATAAAGCAATACAAATTCAATCTGTATAAGTGAAGGACCTATTGTTCAAAAACCATAACCGACTTACACTCACGACACAATCATCAACTTAGTGATCCCCTTCTTCTTACCACCAGCTGCATTGAGTGCTGCGATGGCGACCAAGAATTGCCCCTCCAGACACCTAACAAATGTGCAACCTGCACTTGACAGAGTTTTGAGCCGAATTTGGGAAAAAAAGACCCATCCACAAGATTGACATAAGTGACCCATCTGCTCAGCTTAAGTTTCTGATCAAAGGTACCCTCTGACCAGTTCTCATGCACATGAGGCCATATGGAGAGTTTCGGTTCAGATTCGGGCTTTAGGGCAAAGCCAATGTAGCCCTGTCCGTTGAACTGCTCGACTGACACAGTGTTCCATCCAATCTATCCTATGGACTGATTCAATATAAAGACTATAAGTACGGGTAAGAATGGCTTTCTTACCTGTCACATCCATCACTTCTCCGTGCAGAAAGTCCAAGTCTTTGGGTCTAAAGAGACAATAAGAACTGCCTTCCTAGCCCCCAACAATTTTGCCTGCGTATCCAAATCCATCCTGGTAGCAAGGGCCTGCACAGAGTCAGACCCCACACAATAATATCATCACTGCCACTGCAACAATTGACTGCCTGGAAACTCGAGGAGTACAGGCCAAATGAAACAAGAGGGCCAAAGGAAAAGCCCAGACGAGCTGAAGCAACAGTTGCCGCCACTGCGACAACCAACTGCCTGGAAACTCAAGGGCGTGGTGCAGAAAAGAGGGCTGAGGGAAAAGCATGGATGAGTGAGCCTGTGGGTCGACAGAACAGAATAATAGCATTACTTGAGGTCGAGGTACAGGCTAGCACATCCCCTGAAAGCTCGACTCTCAGACGTGTGGTGGCCAATTGCAAGATGAAGGAACGATGACATGTATGAAGGTGGTTCACATTATGTAATCAAAGCTGGATTCACATGCCTCTGTCGCACCTCCCTGGCTCTCGTAGTACAATTGCCGCGAGTCAAGCTGAGTCTAGCCAAGTTGACCATGGTGTTGATATCTAGGTTCCAAAGTAAGGAGCCTAAACAAATTGTCGTCAGATGTTACGGATGGTAGGATCGGCATGGACTCACGAGGCCCGAAGCTTTGCACTTCAGGGTGTTTCCTTTTTGTGGATGCTTGGGCGTCTCTGACCGCGCGCCTATATGACCCAAACCTTCAGCACTACACATTAGACCTGCGCTATGTTGCCATACCTAGTCATGATGGAGTACGCGCCAACCGTGGTGACAGTTCTGCAGGGCTTATATAGACCTTTCACGTCTGATCCCTATACCCAGCGGCATGAGCATGCAAAGTCAAAATAACAGACGATAGTAGCGTACATGGGGACATCACATAGAATTTTGTTGATCAGGGAGGCCGCACTTTGTGCCACAAGATATAGAGGAATGGGTACTGTCATGAACACTTACTCATGACACTAACAATACGGCATTTGATGACTAAAATGCCGATGTACTAGTACGACTCAGCAACTGCGACCCAGATTATGACCTGGACATGACTCATACGACTCTATGGAACATTGTACAAGAACTTTCCAGTAGTCCCTACAGCAGTCTATGCTATTCAACAAGTACTTGTACAGTAGTATATAAGATGCTAGCTGAAGCCGATGGACTTCAGCTTGTCCATTTGTTATACACGCCCTTAGCGTGACAACAATTGATGGCTCGGCGCGATCTCTAAGACTACCGCTCTAAGACACCTGGCCAACCTGTAGCTTTCTGGTCACTGAGGTCATTGTCGGAGGCAACATCTTGGTGTCTGATGATATCGTGCTCGGCTGCCCCCATCACCAACTGCAACACAAGATTCACCTCAACACATTGTTAGCTTTTGATGGCAGTGGCATGCTACCAGTATCGTCAACCACTATGAACTTAGCCATGCGGGCTTTTATGCACTGGAAGATCACATCTCCCCATACTTTCCCAAGCCCAACCATTGTAGATCTTGAGTGTAGTCCAGTCCTTGTGACATGTACGTTGTCCCATAAGTACGATACAGGTAACAGGACACACTCAATCTTACCGAAAAGAAAAAGAAAAATATGTACAATCCAAGTCCAAGTTCCAAAGTGATTCTGCAGAATCCGCGCTGAGTCCAAAGTTCAGTTGGGTGTAGGAAACATATGGAAGGTTCCTGTGTAACAGCGTAGGAGGCTGTGTGACGTGCTGTAGCAAGCTGGGAGCAAGGGAATGATGGATTGTAACCACCCCAGACTGATCCATCACCAACCTCAACACGGTCGACTGCTACGCTACTAAGGGCCAATTTGTCCCGTACAGAGGACCAGTGAGGTGGGCACTGCAACACTTTGCTCATCATCTGGCAAAACCCAGGAGCTATAGCACCTATAGAGTGCTATGGTAGTGCTATGGTAGTAATCTATAGTATATATAGCCTGCCATAGCAATGTAGATTTTTCCTGAGATGTGGCTGCTATTGCCTTCGCATTGGACAACAGTGTTGAGGTTGGTGATGGATCAGTCTAGGTGGTTACCATCATTCCCCTTGGTCACCGCTTTTCTGGCTGCTCTGATCATCCTTTGATGCTGGTCTCCTTGCTACATGTCTCCCATCTGTTCACATCAGTTGGCATTGGTTGGTTGACCACACAACTGATGCAACCGGTCCAACAGTCAGTTGGTTGCTCGGATCACTGATTCCAACTGTCCATCTCCACATGCTTGATCCCCATCTCCATAGCTTCGATATCTCCCTTTGTTACTTGTACCATAGCTTCCATCATAGCTACGCTTGGCAAAGCAGTGCTCCTTGTCATGACCCTTCATCTCGCAGAAATCGCACAGGAGGTCCGCCTTGCTGGCCGTAGGCGTTGCAATGCGCATGGCAGGGATTTCTGCAGAGGCAGAGCCATCCTGGCGGCCGTTCCGCGTCTGATGCTCCCGCACAAAGGCTTGAACAATCTCAGACTTGGTGGCATCCCGCTGAATGAGACCTGAAGTGAAGGAGTCATACTCCAGGGATCGAAGCATGGACATGGCAGCTAGATCTGCGAACAGCTGCTCGAGTGTGTAGCTGTCCGGGCACAAGTCCTTGAAGGTCTGAACGAGGGTGTCCACCCTGGAGGCCAGGGAAGGCAGGGACTCGTCAAGCTGCTTTCTGACGGCGAAAACAGCGTCCAGAGCGTTGTAACACGCCCCAGACACCTTCTGGAGGTGGACTGATTGGAGCTTGGCCCAGATCAGAGGTGCATCCAGTTCGATGACGGTAAAATGAACATGCTGGGATGCATCCACTGCAAGGAACATGGCCCCAGCGGTCTGAGCCGACTTCTCGAGGTAGGTAATATGCTCTGGGTCCCCTGCACTCGGCTCCTTGATGGTTCCGATGACTATGAACCAGAGCTTGTTCTCAGCCAAGTAGGCCCACATCTCCTTCGCCCATTGGGCATAGTTGACGTCGTTCAGGGGCGTAACTACACAAGAGGAGGTGAGCTCTTTAGACGAGGACATGGTGTCCTGATGCTGGAGTGAGGTGGAGATAGGTGAAGTAGGTGATATATGGTGGTGATGATGATGATGCAAGGAGGGCAAAGTGAGCCGAGTTGTGGAGGTGTAGGATGGTGTGCAGTGCGTGTAAGACGTCCCAGGCGCGAAGAAGAGTCTGTCTAAGCTGTCTAACCACATAGAAAAGCGAAAAGAGCCCATAGATCACGCAAATCACGCAAAACTAGTTACTTATAGATGGGGAGAGCCACACACGGACACAAACTTGACCCCTGCCACACACACAAAGGAATGGATACCCGGTGTGGCTTATTCCAGGGCTGAAAGGCGGCGAAACCAATCAAGGTAGACGGGGATAAACCCACTCCAAGTTCTGCCCACCCAAGTGTTTATGTGTAGCTGTGGAAGCCCTATGTGTCTACAAGCGCTCGCAGGAGGTCAAGGGACCGTTAAAGCCTGTGGCAGCACGGAAAACGCGCAGGAGGGGACGGAGGAGGCGCAGGGAGCGCAGAGAGACGCTAGGGAGCGTAGAGCACCGCACAGATGTGCAGGGAGTGCCTGGGGAAGGCAGGAGGGTTGCAACAGCGGCAGAGACGTGTGTGCAGCAGCAGTAGCGTCGAAACAAGCGGTCAGAGTGCAGGGCTCATAACCTAACAGCGTAGGAGGCTGTCTGACGCGCTGTAGCGAGCTGGGAGCAAGGAGGGAATGAAGCTGTGAGTCCAAGTCTATTGAGATACAACTAGGGACAGACGTGGGAGCAAGGGAATGAGGACTCTGGGCTTCATCCCTGCTCCCCAAATATATCTAGCTATGTGGAAGCTATGGTAACAAGTAACAAAGGGAGATATCCAAGCTATGGAGATAGGGATCAAGCATGTGGAGATGGACAGTTGGAATCAGTGATCTGAGCAACCAACTGACTGTTGGACCGGTTGCATCAGTTGTGTGGTCAACCAACTGATGCCAACTGATGCCAACTGATACCAACTGATGTGAACAGATGGGAGACATGTAGCCAGGAGACCAGCATCAAAGGATGATCAGAGCAGCCAGAAAAGTGGTGACCAAGGGGAATGATGGATGGTAACCACCCTAGACTGATCCATCACCAACCTCAACAAAAGTGATCTACTCGGCCGGTGTGGGCTCTGTGCGCTTCATGACGCAGATATGAGGGAAGCCTGGGCGGTTGCTCGAGTTTGAGCGTGTCCTGCATGTTCCTGACCTCGGGTCTAGTCTCCTCTCTGTGCTGTATTTAACTCGTGAACGTGGTTTCTCTGTCTCGATCGAGCGCGACGTGATCTCCTTCCGCCGATCAGGAGCTCTGCTGTTCACCGCGACGTGCAACTCCAACAATGCCGCTTACCTCGACGGCAGGACAGTCCCACCTCTGCAGTTGGCTCAGCCGGCGAGTACCATCCCTCTGGACCTGTCCCTATGGCACAAGCGCTTCGCCCATGTCCACCACGGGGTGATAAAGCAGCTGATCGACCAGGGACTCGCCAAGGGCGTTTTCATTGCTTCCTCTGCACCCCCTGATCCCATTTGCGAGCCTTGCATTGCAGGCAAGCAGCGGCGTCCCGACGTGCCCAGGATCGCTCAGAACCGCGCCTCCAAGCCTCTGGATCTGCTGCACATGGACTTGCATGGTCCTGTGCCGGTCAGGACTCCGGAAGGCTACCGGTACTGGCACCTGATTGTAGACGACTGCACGCGCATCTACGGCCTCTTCCTGCTTCGCAGCAAGGCGGATGCTTTCCCAGCTTTGCGACGCTTCGTCCAATGGGCGGAAAACAAGCTTGGGACGCGTGTTAAGGCGCTCAGGGATGACAAAGGCGGCGAGTGGATGTCCAAGGAGCAGGAGCGATGGTGTATAGAACGAGGCATCGAGAGGCAGCACACCGTTTGCAACGAACCTCATCAGAACGGTGTTGCGGAGCGAGCTAACCAGTCCCTGGCCAACGGTGCAACCTCTTTGCTTGTTGAGTCAAGCTTGCCCCCGTCGTTTTGGGGTTATGCCGTCCAAACCTACGTCTATGCGCGCAACAGAGCGCCCACCTCTGCTCTGCCTTCGTCTCTGACACCCTACATCGCATTCTTTGGGGAGAAACCGGATGTGGACCACCTGAGGGCTTTCGGATGCGCTGCCTACGTGCACGTGCAGAAGGACCAACGCCGTGGCCTTCAATCCCACACCCAGAAGTGTGTGTTCATCGGTTATCCCTCAGAGTACAAGGGATGGCTCTTCTACAACGCGGAGACTGTTGTCTGTGGTGACTTGCCATCTCTCTGGCGCTTATTTCGCGTGGCTGTGGCCGCTTTAGCTTGTAGGCTGTGCTGACAGTTTTACTGGAGAGCCACAGACGAGTTGGGCACTTCATTCTGCTCACTGTCTGTGCTCTCCAGGTAGGATAGCCCTCTCCATGTATTTACTTCATTCTGCTCACTGTCTGTGCTCTCCAGCTCGTTCTCGAGTGTTGTCCAGCTGCTAGACGCCCTCAGACAACAGAGACGAAGAAAGTCTTGATCTCCAATGTGGCCATCTTCGATGAACGCAGTTTTCCGGGTTTGAAGTCGGCCGCATGGGACGTTTCCAAGGACTTCTTGCTCGAGTCGTTGCCTTCGGAGTTGCCGGATCAGGTGGGAGTGGTTCCATCGCCCCCGGAACACCTCCAAGACGAGTAGAAACCTGCCGTCCAAGCCTTGCCTGGTCCGGTGGGAGTGGGTGATCCTGCACCCCTTCCAGCAGCTCCTGATGCACCTGCAGAAGGTCCTGAGCTCCCTGCGCCTGCCCCGCCTCCTGAACATCTCCAGCCTGCTCCACAGGACGCTCCAGGTCCTAGTAGAGGGTCCAGAACGCGTCAAGCGTCCAAGCGTCGTGCCAGCTCTTCACCACCTCCAGAGTTTCGTCGCAGCACCCGGCACAGGACTCCACCCAAGCCTTGGTGGGAGGTTCCTAAGCTTCGCCCTCGCGAGCCAGCTCCTGTCATCGAGTCCGAGAGCTCCGAGAGCTCTGAGGACGAGCTGAATTTGCTCAGGCCGGGTGCAGATGACCCTGACTTGCAGGAGGCTCATATCGCCACTGCGGTCGAGGCAGGCATTGACTTCTTGGCCGGTGACTTCTTGGCCGGTGACTTCTTGGAGTTAGACAACGCTTTCCAGCACGCATTCGAGACCTGTCCTCTCAAGGCGGCTGCTCATAGCCCGGAGCCTCGCTCATACAAGGATGCCATGCGTTGTCCTGACTTTGACAGCTGGCATCAGGCGGCCGTTGAAGAGATCGAAGCACACGTGCGCAACGGGACTTGAACCCTCGTTCAGCTGCCTCCAGACCGGAGAGCCATAGGCTGTCGTTGGGATTTCAAGGTCAAGCGCAATGCAGACGGTTCCCTAGAGTGCTGCAAGGCTCGATTGGTCGCCAAGGGCTTCAGCCAGCGCCCTGGGCTTCAGCCAGCGCCCTGGGCTCGATTACAACGAGACCTTCGCCCCTACAGCCAAGTGGGCGACGAAGCCGACGCCGTAGACATTCCCAATGCGTTCCTCCACGGGGATTTAACGCAGGACGTCTACATGCTTCAGCCTGAGGGCTTCGAGCAGGGTGACAAGGACATGGTCTGCAAGCTCAACCGTTCTCTGTACGGTTTGAAGCAGGCCTCACGAGTCTGGTACCAGAAGCTGGACGGTGCTCTGCAGGAGATGGGATTCGCTCGCACCCGGTGTGATCACTGCGTGTTTGTTTGGAGAAAAGGCACCACCCACATCATTGTGCCGGTCTACGTCGACGATCCGACGATTGTTGGCAGGACCAAGGCAGACAAGGATGCCGTAAAGGCTGAACTTGCTCGCCGCTTCAAACCGCGTGATCTCGGGCCCATCTCCTTGCTACTGGCCGTCGGTATCACTCGGGACCGTGCCAAGCGTCGGTTATCCATGGATCAGCGCCGTTACACTCAGGACATGCTGGACACCTTTGGAATGACCGACTGCTCGCCGGTGCTCACTCCTATGGATCCAAACACTCGCTTGTCCGCGTCCATGTCACCCCAGACTCCGGAGGAGAAGGCAGAGATGGTGGGAGTTCCCTACATCAATGCCGTGGGCGCCCTGCTCTACCTGGCCATTGCCACTCGTCCAGACATTGCCCATGCGGTGGGAGTGCTGTCCCGGTTCTCTAAGAACCCAGGTCCGCGTCATTGGACCGCCGTGAAGCATCTATTTCGCTACTTGAAGGGCACGCTTGACTACAAGCTGACCTTTTGGCCGGACGAGTCAGGAGAGCCGTTCACCTCCTTTGTGGACGCCGATCACGGTGGCAACCCTGACGACGGGCGCTCTACCTCCGGGTTTGTGCTCAAGATCGGCTCTGGAGCTGTAAGCTGGTCCAGCAAGCCCCAGACGACCGTTGCACTGTCTACAACCGAAGCCGAGTATGTGGCAGCCTGCTATGCCGGCCGAGAGGTCCTTTGGCTTCGCAACTTGCTCTCTGAGCTCGGGTTCGAAGCTACAGCCGCTCCCTCGAGACTCCGGATAGACAACCAGTCTGCCATCTCTGTGGCCAAGAACCCAGAACACCATGGGCGCATGAAACACCTTGATTTGGCGTTCTATTGGCTCAGGGACACCGTTGAGGCCGGTCTCATCACTGTGGACTACATTCCGAGGTCCCAGATGCCTGCGGACGCTTTGACCAAGGCTCTAGGTGCTGCCAAGGTCGCAGAGTGCGCCAGGATGATGGGATTGACTTCTCCATCAGGTGGGAGTGTTGAGGATGGTGATGGATCAGTCTAGGTGGTTACCATCCATCATTCCCCTTGGTCACCGCTTTTCTGGCTGCTCTGATCATCCTTTGATGCTGGTCTCCTGACTACATGTCTCCCATCTGTTCACATCCGTTGGCATCGGTTGGCATCAGTTGGTTGACCACACAACTGATGCAACCAGTCCAACAGTCAGTTGGTTGCTCCACTGATTCCAACTGTCCATCTCCACATGCTTGATCCCTATCTCCATAGCTTCGATATCTCCCTTTGTCACCTGTTACCATGGCTTCCATCATAGCTAGATGTATTTAGGGAGCAGGGATGGAGCCCAGAGTCCTCAGACTTCGACTCACAGCTCCATTCCCTTGCTCCCAGGTCTGTCCCTAGTTATATCTCAATAGACTTCGACTCACAGCTCCATTCCCTTGCTCCCAGGTCGCTACAGCGCGTCAGACAGCCGCTTCCTACGCTGTTAGGCAAAGCTAACCCCGTTCCTAGGAGCTCCAGCCCGTGCTCTGACAGCTATGGGTGCTATAGATCACGCTGCAATGGCTATATAGCACAGTGCCAATGCTATGGGCACTACAGACACTATGGCAATTTGGTAGTCATTATTTGCTCAATGGATGCCATGATTAATCAGACAAAAAACTAAAATACTTATGAATATATCAATAATGTTTGAAAGCAAATATTTGCTTTGCATAACAACCATCTACAATATTACACTACTAGTGCTAGATGAACATCCCTGCCAGCTTACATAAGCATTCCATACAAACATAACCCTATGTGGAGGTGGCAAGGCAGTTCAACAAGCCACACCAGGTGTCAAACGGTGGAGGCAGAGGCAGCGAGCCTCACCAGGCTCGTTGAGAGTCGGAGGCAGCGGAGGCAGCAGAGGTAGAGGGGGAGGCAAGGGTGGAGGTGGAGGTGGGGACAAGGCAAACAATGAGCAATGTGGGGCTCATCAAGGAGCTGGGCAACAGGCAAGGACAGGGGAGGCAATGCTAAGCCTGACCATGTTGGCGGCTCAGGCTCGGTGCTGTTGAAGGGAGGCGGGAGGGAGGCACGGCCGAGCCCGACCGCATTGGGGGCTTGGGCTCGGGGCTGGTCAAAGGGGGGCAGGAGGCAAGAGGACAAGCCCGACCGTGTTGGCAGCTTGGGCTTGTGGCTGGTCGAAGGGCGGTGGGAGGCAGGGAGGTGAGGCCAAGCACGACCACGTTGGCAGCTTGCACCCAGGGCTAGTTGAAGGGCAGCGGGAGGTGATGCCAAGTGCAACCATGTTGGTGGCTCGCGCTCAGGGCTGGTCAACAGGTGAGGGCTCGACAAGCCAGGCTGGGCTGGTTGAGGAGGCAGAGGCGGGGGAAGCTTGATAAGCCATGTCAGGCTCGTTGACAGGGAAAGGCGGTGGGGTTGCAGCTTGTCAATGGGCTGTGGCTATGTCAGACATTGGTCATGTGACCATTGGTTGGTGTCAATGTGGCCACGTCAACATTGGTCATGTGACCGCTGGTCCAAACCTGATTTTTGCTAAGTCCATATTCCTAGTACTGTGTCATAGTTCATGTTTATATATAAGCTTATATGATACTATGCACTGATACTGTACAGGCTGACTATTACCCCAAAACTAATGAAGATCATAACATAGTGTGAGTTGGAAAGTCTGCTATAGTCTCTGTATAAGTATGTACAAAAACTATGGGTGCTATATGGACACCACTATGAGCTATGCATTGCTATATAGCTGGTGTATTAAGGTATAAACTACTATGTAGCACCCCATAGTGACCGTCACAGTCTACATAGCACCCCATAGCAACTGTCATAGTCTACATAGCGCTCTATAGCAGCTAGCTGATCACTCCATAGTGCACATAGAGCTACTACTATAGCAACAATAGTTCAAAGGGGCAGCTATATAAATTTGTTCAGATGTGGATAGCACAAGATCAATGCGTGCCCACAACGCTGATACATTGGCATCCAGCCGGACACCATTTGGTTGACTTGTCACCGGAACCTCTGGGTACCAAGCGAAGCGCCCTAGGATGGGGCCAACAAATTCAGGTGCTTTTGGTATGAATGCAAGCTGAGGGAAATCATCATACGATGTGAGACGTGACCGTGCTCTGAAGGCATGCTCAAAAAACAGAGATTCATCAAATTTGATTTGGCCGTAGTGGGAAAATGGTTGTACAGAGAAGTTGTACCACAAGTAGTATGTGTTTGAGTTTGGGTCCCTCATGGTGCCATGCTTTTCAAGCTATTACCTTGGTTAGTCCTAGCAACATGACACTGGAAATCCAACATACCGGTTGAAGATCCATGTTGCACAACCCCCACTCTCGCAGTATGTCTAGTACAAGCAGTCCCTTCCCTTCACAAGCCAATGGTGTACACCTGGGACATGTTAATTCACTAGTATGTGAAGGGAAAGCTTGGGACATACCTGCAAAAAAATGCGGCAGCCTGGAATCCAATGATGCACCCAGTCTGAACAGAATCTGACCAAGCTGAACCCTGCGAGCACAGACAATGTTGCCTCAGGTACCCAGGCTGTCACATGGCCAGTCGTACATCTGAGCACAGTGAACGCAAAGACAAGCGGAAGCGAAGTCGTTGAGTTTTGCCTCTGCACGCACGACACGTCATCCTCTGTGTCTCACGATCACTACTACAATATAGATGCTGCTCATACAGCTCATGTAGCACTACATCCAGTCTATTATACCCTACTAATACACCACGTCGTACTTTCTCTCCAACATTGTGCTTGCCCTGCTCCTGATGCAGATCCTCAGCCCGTGTTCGCGCTCCATGTTTTGGTGCGGTACCAGCAGTTCTTGAGGACAACAGCCCTGAGACAACTCTTCTGCGATGTCCCCTCGAGCATCCAGATCTGAGCATGCAGTCTCTCATACTCGAGAGGGGGATGAGACAGACCCACCCTCCGCCATATGATCTCGTTTTGTCGGGCACACCCTCAGTAAACCACCTGTCCGCACCCAGGCCTCCCACAGTTCCTCAAGCGATCATAACTACCAATCCACTGCCAGCGTGGGCAGCCACTTCTAAGGTCCAGGGAAGTACTTGGCAAGGAGGAACACCCGGTGGCCCCCCTGGTCGTCCGTCGGACCCCAGCCCTTGTTGTCTGAGGGCATCTAGCAGCTGGACAACACTCGAGAACGAGCTGGAGAGCACAGACAGTGAGCAGAATGAAGTAAATACATGGAGAGGGCTATCCTACCTGAAGAGCACAGACAGTGAGCAGAATGAAGTGCCCAACTCATCTGTGTCTCTCTAGTAAAACTGTCAGCACAGCCTACAAGCTAAAGCGGCCACAGCCACGCGAAATAAGCGCCAGAGAGCTAGCAAGTCACCACAGACAACAGCCCTTCGCCTGGCTCCAAGATGTCCGCAATCTGAGCGTCATTCTGCTGCAAGGCATCCCCTACATTGTCACCCCATTCCACTAACAGCATAGCAGGCTATCTGACACGCTGTAGCAACCTGGGAGAAAGGGAATAGAGCTGTGAGTCCAAGTCTGAGGACTCTGGGCTCCATCCCTGCTCCCTAAATACATCTAGCTATGATGGAAGCTATGGTAACAAGTAACAAAGGGAGATATCAAAGCTATGGAGATAGGGATCAAGCATGTGGAGATGAACAGTTGGAATCAGTGATCCGAGCAACCAACTGACTGTTGGACTGGTTGCATCAGTTGTGTGGTCAACCAACTGATGCCAACTAATGTGAACAGATGGGAGACATGTAGCCAGGAGACCAGCATCAAAGGATGATCAGAACAGCCAGAAAAGCGGTGACCAAGGGGAATGATGGATGGTAACAATCCTAGACTGATCCGTTGCCAACTTCAACATCCACAGCTCATTATTCCACTCCCCAGCGTCCCATTCGACACATGAACCGTTCCTGCCAGTTCAGGACCTCCTCGATGCTTCCTCCTACGATGTCTGCAGCACTCAGGACACCGTTGCCATCGATTAGGAGCAACTTTCGGCATCTACACTGATGAGGCTCACCCTAACTCAATTCTACACTATCCTTGCTGTCTCTGGCCTCTGTGCTTGTCCTACACCATTGCCTATTTGCCTACAGCCTCTACACCGCTGCCTATGTCCTCCAGCACCCAGAAGGTCACCCCGCTGGGGGAGAACAACTACAACACCTGGATGCCCAAGATGAGGGCCTACCCCGCTGAGCAGAAGGTCTGGTTCATCATCTCTGGCGAGGATTCGAGGCACTCAGACAACGCTGGGGCCGTGGCATAGAGGGATAAGGCTGCAGTGACAGTAGGAGCTAGCTATCTGTAGGGTGCTGGAGCCGGGTCAGAGGGTGCATGTGGTGGGGATTGAGATAGATCCGGTGAAGATGTGGGCGAAGTTGGCCGAGGTCCACCTCCAGAAGGCATCTAGTGTGCATTTCAATACCCTGGACACCCTCCTCGCCATTAGAAAGGGTGCTGACGAGTCCCTCCCTCCCTCATTGCTCGAGTCGACTCCCGCACCAAGAACTCAAGGCCCTTTGTCCAGAACATGTCAAGATCGGATGCAAACAAAGGGGAACAAGGTCGGAGGACTGAAGTCCGAAACATATATACAAAGAATAGAGCAAAAGAGAAAGGAGAACTCAAAGGTAGAGCCAGAGAGGAGTCAGAGACGCATCGGTGTTGAGTTGATAGGTCAGAAGCATTGGTGAAGTCGAGATCAGATGCGGACCAAGCCTAAGCTTGTGCGCTAGGCTGCTACGTGCTCTGAGTCCACAGGAGAGAGAGGATGAAGCTTAGTTGATATTCGAACTGACTATCTACGGTACAGTTCGACGGTTTATATACATAAAATAGAACAATGGCGAAGTCGGAGATGTGGAGATTGGAGGCGCCGTTTGGTGCGCAAAGGAAATATACGGAAATGAGAGATAATGCATGGAACACAAAGGGAACATATCTAAGGAAGAGACAGAAAGGATGGACCAAGGGATCCATCGCAAGCGATGGGAAACTAAAGTCTACAAAGGGAAACTATGATGTCAAACAAAGGGAACAGGAATCAGGAAAGTCGGAGTTGAATCCATTCAAAGATCTGGAACCACCGGGACATTGAGCCACCAGTGGCCCGGTGCATGTGATAGACAGATCCTGCCCTCGGCCAAAACAGGAAGGGCAGGATCGGTGTCAGCAAAGAAGTCGGCAAAGAGTTGGAAAACGGGTTGGAGAAGATCAGTGCATATTGGTGATGATTGGCGGAGCGGATTGGCGTAGATCGGTCTGGATTGACATGTAACGAAACACTACAGCATCCCCGACCTCGACAACGACCTCGCCGCCATGTCTATGCTCCGCTCCCTGGATCCAGGATATGCCGAGTTCACCTCTCCCTTGTCCGCTTCGACCCCAGCCGCTCTGACGTCGTTTAGGCCTTCATCCACGAACATAATCACTGCCTGCCATGCGCCGGAGCCACTGACAACACCGCCTATCGCGCTCAGGCCGCTCCCGGCTCCTCCGCCACCCAGGACGTCCTTTGCGACTTCTGTGGCTACAAGGGTCACTCCATCGCCGGAGCGCCGCCAGCAACGCCGCAAGGAGATCGCGGACTGCTGTCGTGCTATAAATGTGTAAGGACACACAATAGACTCAGGTTTCCAGGGTCTGTGAGAGACTCAGGAGATCACCTGATTTGTTCGGGTGAGGGATGTATTGTGTAGAATGGCTGTGTACCAGAGGCGAAGAGGATGTGGAGAGGATGACCTAAATAGGAAGGTCAAAGACTAAATTAGAATGGGCTCCACGAGTGAACTCCAGAGAATGTAAGAGAAAATAAAGCAGACAACGATACTGCAACTATTGCAGTGGATAGACGAATATAGTGCCACTTAGCACTATAGGGACAGATTCAAGGGGAAAAGAGTACTTGCTCATTACTACTACAAAGACAGTACTTATACCTACTGGGTCGCAGCTATGTTACTTCTGAAATGAACTATATACAACAGTTCATATACAACTCTTTAGTTCTAACGAATGATCTACTTGATAAACGAGGTGGCGATAGTCGATATACGAGAGATTGAAACGAGGTACTTGCGATCTATCTACTTTGAGTACTGGTACAAAACACAAACACAAGACAGCCTAAGACGATATACGAGCACGATGATGATGACGATATACGAGGAACTAACAATCTACTAGATGATGGCGATATATGAGTTTCCTGACGATATACGAGGGTCCTGACGATATACAAAGTTCCTGACAATATACGACATGTAGAGCAAGCAATATACAAATGGGCAACAATATACACAAATCTAAAACGACACTAGTCCAAGCGACGACAACGAGGTACCCTACTCCTGAATCAATGGGCATACAGCTTCTTGAAGCGGTGATATGGTAGTATGCATCAGTCATTTGTCCAAAAATATTATCGTGCGAGCGGTATCTCTTGTGTAGCCGAGTGACATAGATGATGTAGTCTCTGACCTTCTCTTCCAGGACGTATGAGATACAGGCGCTAGCAGCCATTATCTTGTTTCCAAACATAAGACGCAAACATATTACGTTGCCGGGCTGCAGGATGTTGGTAGCAAATGGAGGACCATCGAGTAGGAAGAAGATTCGTGGACCATGTAGCCATGGGTTGAGTGCTACGAACTGCAAACATAGAGGAGGTGCATGAAGGAAAAAGTCAGCTGCCTCGATAGGCCGGTAGGGAGAAGCTCTGGGCGGACACATCTGGTATTCTGGTACGAATTCGACAGTAGTAGTGACGTGGGCCTTGGGGCGGACACAGAGCCCTGATGTACTGAGGGAGCGACAACCTCTCGGCCTGTGCGAGAAGCGCAGTGGTCTTGTTATTGGCTAGCGGAATGTGTTCGGGCGGGTGAGGATCGACGGAGAAGGGCTTCACCCATTTCGTTAGACTACACTGTATGTATTTGGCAATTGCTTTAAACACCTGCATGTTGACTACATCTGAGAAAAATCCCATGACTATACAGCACTACATAGTCCAATATAGCATCCATAGACCCATAGCAATGTCAATTTGTATGGGTGCTATAGAGCTGCCTGCAGTTGCTATAGAGGTACCTGCCAGTGCTATAAAGTGTTATGGGTGCTATAGATCACACTGCCATGGCTATATAGCATAGAGCCAATGCTATGGGCATTACAGATACTATGGCATTTTGGTAGTCATCATATGCCCAGTAGATGCTATGATTAATCAAACAAGAAACTAAAATACTTCATTAATATTTGAATTTAGTAAATATCTGGATTGCATAATAACTGTCTACAATATTACACTAGTGCTACCGGCCAGCTTACATAAGCATCTCACACAAACATAATGCTACATCGGTAGAGTTGGAGGCGAGGGCAGCGGCCAAGGCCGAGCCTGACCGCATTGGCGGCTCGGTCTCAGGGCTGGTCGAAGGGCGGCGGGAGGCAGGCGCAAGAGGCAGGAGCCAACACCAAGCCTGACCGTGCTGGTCGGAGGTGGGCACAGGGGACAGGATACAACACCAAGGCTGACCGCGTTGGTGGCTCAGGCTTGTGGCTGGTTGAAGGTGGACGAGGGGGGTGGGAGACAACGCCAAGCCCGACTGCGTTGGTGGCTTGGGCTTGCGGCTGGTCGTAGACGGGCACGGGGTGCGAGAGGCGACACCGAGCCTGACTGCTTTGGTAGCTCAGGCTCAGGGCTGGCAGAAGGCGGGCGCGGGGGGCGCGGGGGGCGCGGGGGGCGGGGCATGAGAGACGACACCGAGCCTGACTGCTTCAGCGGCTCGGGCATGGGACTGGTCAGAGGCAGGCATGGGGTGTGAGAGGCGACACCGAACCTGACCACTTCGGCGGCTTGGGCGCGGGGCTGGCAGAAGGCGGGCAGGGAGCGCGGGGCATGAGAGGCGACACCGAGCCCGACCGTGTTGGCGGCTTGGGCTCGGGGCTGGTCAGAGGCGGGCGAGGGGGGCGGAATACAACGCCGAGCGTGGCTCGGGCCCGGCACTGGCAGGAGGCGGGCGGGGGCGTGGAGGGGTGGGAGGCAACACCGAGCCCGACCGCGTTGGCGGCTCGGGCTCGGGGCTAGTCGAAGGCGGGCACGGGATGGGGTGAGAGCCACACCGGGCTCGTCAATGGGGGAGGCGGCAGGGTCGCGGCTTGTTGAGGGCGGGGCAGACAGGGGCAGGGGCATGGACAGGGTGTCATGAACTTGTGTTGGGCTGTGGCCACGTCAAACATTGGTCACGTGACCATTGGTTGGTGTCGACGTGGCCGTGGCAACATGGGTCACGTGACCACTGGTCCAGAACCCGAATTTCTGCTAAGTCCACATTGATCCTAGTAGCTATAGTTAATGTGTATATATAAGCTTATATGATACTATGTGCTGATACTTCACTGTACAGGCTGACTATTACCCCAAAACTAACAAAGATCATAACATAGTGTGAGTTGGAAAGTCTGCTATGGTTTCTATATAAATATGTACCAAAACTATGGGTGCTATATAGACATATATCCAAAGCTATGGGTGCTATATGGACATCACTATGAGCTATGCATTGCTATATAGCTGGTGTATTAAGCTATAAATTGCTATGTAGCACCCCATAGCGACTGTCATAGTCTACATAGCACTCTATAGCAGCTAGCTGATCACTCCATAGTGCACATAGAGCTACTATAGCAACAATAGTTCAAAGGGGCAGCTATATAGATTTGGGTTTTTTCAGATGTAGGTAGTTGGTGAGTACGGTGGGGGTTGCCTATTCCTGAACGCGTGTTGTGGGCATGGCATCTACGCATCACGACTTTCTAATCACGTGATCACAATATGTTGTGAATTTGTGTGTTTAGGCTATGTCCGAGCACCAAACAGATTTGGTGCGCAACACCGCAAGTCAGGATATCGCACGCCGCGCTCTCAGACCGCCAAGGCCGCCTCTGAGGCCCAGGACGCCCCTGGCTCTCCCCAGACCGCCGGACAGGCCATCCACATCGAGCTGGTTGGCAATGCAAGTGTCTCCTCATCATCTGAGCCCCTCCCCGCTGTCCTAGACGTCCCCAGCACTGATTGGACCGCCGATACTGCTCATACAACACCTCACCATCACTGATTTGTCTCCTACATGCCCTGCAAGGTCCCCATTTGCCTCGGCGACTCCAAACTCGTCTACGCTGTTGGTATTGGCTCCGTTTGCTTCCAGCCAGTGGTGGAGGGTCAGGAATCGCATCTAGTGGAGTGGACCAGTGCTGTATCTCACTCAGCACAAATCCATTCATGTTGTGATCACCAGGGGCCTTATGGCTCTCATTTGAGGCACCACCACGCTGTTCACTGTGTCTGTGAGTGATTCCAATGCCACCATCATCAACGGGTGCACCCTGCCGGCCCTGGAGCATGCCCAGCCCGCCAGAACCTGCGCCTTGGACCTCGAGCTCTGGCATCAGCGCTTCAAGCACGTCAACGTCGACTACGTGCGCTGGATGCTGAGCGACAGTGTCTCTAGCCTCAAGCTCAACTCGGACGCTGCTCCAGATGCCATCTGCGAGCCTTGCATCTCGGGCAAGCTGCACCGGCCTCCTGTACCTCTGAGGGCATCCCGGCATGCATCAGAGGCCCTGGGTCTAGTTCACATGGACATCCATGGCCCTATCCCTGTCCAGACACCTGAAGGGTACCGATACTGGGTGATCTTCATCGACAATGCCCACCGCTTCTGGGTGGTGGTGCTGCTCCAGCTCAAGAGCGACACGTTCCAGGCCTTCCTGTGCTTCAAGGCCTTTGCTGAGCAGCTCACCAGACAGAAGATCGGGGCACTGTGCGATGACAAGGGTGGTGAGTTCATCTTGAAGGAGTGGGACGACCTCTGCACCTCCGAAGGCATCCGACACAAGCACAGCGTCTGCAACGAGCCCCACCAGAACAGGGTCGTGGAATGCACCAACCGGACTCTGGCCGAGGGCGCCACAGCTCTCCTGAGTGAGTGGGAGGAGAGGCCACAGCACTTGTCCTTCTGGATGTTAACGTAGGCAACGCACCTGAAGACCCGCAGGTGTTCCACAGAGGGCTTGATCCTGTACCAGCCAAAGTTGTGATGAGAAGAGGAGGACAATTTATTTTTGCATTTTTCATTTCTAAATATGGACTTATCATTTTCCTTTTCCCACCTTTCCTTTTCCAAAGTCACGTGACCTTCAGTGGCAGCAGTACAGCATCATTGACACTGCCCTGCACTGCCCTGCACTGCCTTGCACAGCCTTGCACAGCCACCGGAGTTTTATTCTGCTTACTCATGAACAATGACTCGTTATTCCTTCTAACTCCTTGATTCATAATCCTGACCCACCTAAGTGGGTCGGTCTTACTCATCCTTGTGCCCTGCATGTGATTCTCTTGTACTATTCTTGGACCATGGATTTGTGTATATAAGACCCCTGTAGCTTGCCCTAAGTCCCCATCTCAACCTCTTGTGTCTTGGGGACTTAGGTGAGTAACCGTCTCTGTACTAGATACTATGCTAACTTGTGTCTTGGGGACTTAGTGTGTGACCTTGAGTCCATTAGGTGTCCATTGCGTCGCTGTCGACCTCGTGTCCAGTGACCTTGAGTCGAGCTCAGCTCCTCTTTACCTGCGTATACTCTTGCCTATAGTAAGTGCCGACGACGCTGCCTTTCCCTCCGACTCTACCCGATTGCTTGGACATTCCGACTGTCTAAGTGATTGGTAACCCCAACGGGCGTTCCCCTGCACGTCGCTCGTCACAAAAGTAGGGTGTTGCCCCCTTGGGCAGGGCAGCGGAGGGGGTCCTGTTGTGCACGTGGACATAGGCAGCGACAGCAAGGCCCCAGAATGATGGAGGCAGGTTGAACTCTGAGAAGTGCATCTTCGTCGGCTATGCAGAGGACTACAAGGCCTGGCTCTTCTACAACCCAGACACCCGCAAGCGGATCATCTCTAACGCCGCTATCTTTGACAAGCAGTACTTCCCCAGAGCGTGTTCTACTGCCAGCTGGGACTCTGCTGCCTCCGACTTCCTCCTCCGCGCCCTGCCTTTGCTGCACAGCACTCCTCCCTCTCCTCCTGACACACCTGTGCAGGTTCCGGGGGGAGATATGGCACTACCGCCACTTCAGGATGCCCAGGACATCTCTGAACCGGGAGGAGCTCTGGAACTGCCCTATGTGCCACCTGTCGCTCCTGCCGGAGTCGAGACACCTCCGCCGTCTCCTCGGGCTTTGTCCTCGCCTCCCACTGGTTCTGCCTCGCCTGAGGCCTCCCCATCGCCTGTCCCTCGCTCTGCAGCGCCGTCACCGGACCCGGAGCGCCCTCCTACACCAGCTTGATGTATTTGAGCTCGAGAAACCCGTTACGCTCAAGCTGGGCTGTAAGGGCAGTAAGTCTAAGATTACGCACGGCGGCCATTGTAGGACTGCCCTAGGGACTATCAAAACATGTTGGTATTTTGATGTAGCTAACATAGCACACTATGACACCGTTGTCGGCTTACCATTCTGTGCTAAGCATGGGATCACCATCATGCCTGACAAGTGGACTATCAGGCTTTGGGATGGCCTAGACATCCCTGCAGAGCTCGAAGGAGGAAGGGTCAGAGGAGGTGACAAATGGGCTTGGCCCACGCCCGCCAAGCCTTGCACTTCCTTTCAGAAGTGAAGTGAAGGATGAAGAACAGTGCCCGAGACCCAAGGTAGCGGTCTGCTCTCAAGCACTAGATACCAAATTGCCAGACCTAAGTGAAAGAAATGAACCCACTAAAAGCCGCTTGGCAAGTAGAAGAATTGAATACAAAGAGATCAAGGACATCAAGTTCAAGCCAGAATTTGAGACCGTGTACGAGCAGCACCACACACACCACCGAGGACACCCAATGGAAGACTCCACGGGGCAAGTGGATACCCCAAACTGCCCAAAGAAGCGGGCACTCAGGAACCAAGAGAAGCGCCACCATCATGCCCCAAGAAGCAATATCTGACGATGAGATCCTGCGACTACGGGAATGCTGGATTGAGCACATTCAGGACATTACAGGGGATATTCCCCTTAGGTAACCCCTGTATCGCAAGGTCAATCATAGGATACCGCTAATAGACCCTAACAAGAGATACAAGGGCCACCGCCCACGCTACGCAGAGGCATACCAACACCTTTTACAGGACAAAATATAGAAGTACAAGATGGCCGGCTGGTGGGAATGGAAGCCCATTGAGAACGCATTGCTGATGCTATGCATTCCTAAAAAGGATGGGAAGGTACGTACTATATTAGATCTGCAAGAACAGAATGACAATACCGTACATAATGTCACCCTGATGCTGGACGAAGACCATATTAGGAATGACGTCGCTCGAGCCCGATACTGATCTCAGCTAGATATGAGTGACGTGTATGAGCAAGTCCACATTGAGAAAGGTGATGAGCCCAAGACAGTGTTCTCAACGATTATGGGAACGATGATATCCCATGTAATGCAACAGGGATACTGTAATACCCCATCAACGTTCCAGAGACTCATGACACATATATTTAGAGACTACATAGGAATGTCCGTACATATCTATCTAGACAACATCTTCATATATTCAAACACGGTCGAGGAACATGAGAAACACCTGGCATTAGTATTTGCTGCTCTTTGTAAGGCACAGCTATACCTATCAAAGAGAAAGGTTGACCTAAATTTGGAACAAATAGAATGCCTGGGCCACATAATCGACACCCAGGGAATTCACACAGAGAAAGACAAATTAGAGCAAATCTGTGAGTGCGGACATTGTGGAGTTATACCAAAGTTGCCAGATCTCTCGGGCTTGTGCAGTACCTCGCACAATTCATGCCTAATGTAGCCACTTAAATATCGCCACTGTCAGACATATGTAGCAAGGGAACACCATTTCACTGGAGGCCTATTCACAAGATGTGCTTCAGAATCATAAAGGACTTAGCCTGTAGGGCGCCCATATTGAGACCATGAACTTTGATAATCTCGATCCAATCTACATCGTGTGCAATGCGTCAAAGACTGGCATCGGAGCTTGCTACAGACAGGGCCGAGACTGGCATGTGTGCCAACCAGCTGGGTTCATGTCTAACAAGTTCAATAATGCGCAATGAGGCTACGCGACGTAAAAACATGGGACACTAATGATCCTTGAAGCCCTCCTGAAGTGGGAGGATAAACTTATGGGACAAGAAATTAATATTGTGACAGACCATAGAACTCTTGAATTCTTCAAGTCTCAAAAGGATATGGCTTACCACCAGTGGCGCTGGGCCAAGTACATTAGTAGATTCAACCGTTCTATTGCATATGTCAAGGGTGAGTACAATCTCGTTGCAGGCTCATCCTGAAGATTGTTGGGCTGGCGCACCTCCCGAACAAGGAGGTCGAGCACCACGTTTGCAACACTCCCATGCATCAGATCTGCACGTTCTTCTTGGAACACACGGCAGAACACTTTGGCAAGGTTGCCACCCTTGGCAGGTCAATCTCCACAATGTGGCAGCCCGCCCCACTTGAGCACCCAGAGAATTTTGATATTGACACATTCCTCAAACACGCGGCTCATTGTGGCATGTCCTGCAAGATGGCCAAGGGCCCAATTCACACATTTGCCATTCAATGGATGAAGGATCATCATGAGACCCTTGAACATGAAGTGGGTGGCACAGGCACTTGAGTCCCTCAGTGAGTCCTGAGTCGTACAGAGTCTGTCATGGCACGCCTCCAGTACTCGTCTTTTCCTGTTTCCCTGCATTCCCCACATGCTCCTTTTACCCTTTCAGATTTCCTAGGAGCTCCCAGACTGTCAAGATCGGATACAGGCAAGGGGTAACGGAGTCGGAGGACCGAAGTCCGAAACGTATATACGTAGAATAGAATGAAATAGAAGGGAGGAACTCAAGAGTGAAGTCGGAGCGGAGTCGGAGACGCGTCGGCGTGAAGTCGATAAGTCGGAAACGTTGGTGGAGTCGAGATCGGATGCGGACCAAGCCTAAGCTCGTGCGCTAGGCTGCTACGCGCTCTGAGTCCGCAGGAGGAATAGAGTGAAGCTTAGTCGATATTCGAACTGACTATCTACGGTACAGTTCGACGGTTTATATGTACAAAAGAGAACAATGGCAAAGTCGGAGAGTCGGAGATCGGAGGCGCCGTTCGGCGCACAAAGGGAACATTCGGAGATGAGAGATATCGTATGGAACACAAAGGGAACATATCTACGGAAGAGGCGGAAAGATCGGACCGAAAGATCCGTCGCAAGCGACGGGAAACTAAAGTCTACAAAGGGAGGCTATGATGTCAGACAAAGGGAACAGGAAACAGGAAAATTGGAGTTGAATCCGTTCAAGATCTGGAACCACCGGGGCGTTGAGCCGCCGGTGGCCCGGTGCATGTGATAGGCGTATCCCGCCTTCGACCGAAACGGGAAAGTCAGGATTGGCGTCGGTGAAGGAGGCGGCGAAGGGTCGGAGATCGGATCGGAGAAGATCGGTGTAGATCGGTGACGATCGGCGGAGCGAGTCGGCGTAGGTTGGTCTGGATCGACACGTGACACAGACGCTCCTTCCATTCTTTCAGGTTTTCTAGGAGCCCCATATATTCTTCTATCCTTTTGGGTCTCCTAGGGCCTCCGCACAATGCACGGCCCTCCGTTCCATGGGTCACGTGCCCCTAGGAGCCTCCTCTTCTCTCATTGGACCGTCCCTTGTTTGCTGATGGATTATTCAGCTACTATATAGTCGCCTGTCACACCAGGGAGCAACTCAGACTTGTTCTCTCATTTGCTTCCCTGCCTTGTGCGACAGGTATGTGTATTCGTCTCATATCTTTGTATATATTCTCAGTTGCTTCCCTGCCTTGTGCAACAGCGTCTCCGCTGCCATCCCGAGGGATCCACGCTGCTCCTAGGAGGTCCAGCGCGTACCCTGACAGAGTCCATCGGCTGGTACGACACTGCTAGCATATCAGGTAACCCCCCCCCCCATCGTCCCTTTTTTTTCCAGGAGGGGGAAAGGTGTAATAGAGTAGTCCATAGATTAACAGTAGAGTATATTCAGAATGGTCGCAGCTGATCTGCGACTGAGAAATCACAATGTTGCTGCACCTAGTGGGTGCCATATGGTTAATCCTTGGGTGCTTTAACTTCACCATCCAGGCACCTGATATCCTAGATATGATTATCTACGATATCTACGGTGTCTTGACTATAAAACTTCTTCACTGCACGCCTGTATCTACACTCTATTCTGCTATACTACTGGATCCTGCTCTGTTGCCCTGGAGGCGCTGTTGAATTGGCGCTCTACAGCCACCGATTCACAGGCGCTGGCACAGCCCGCCTTGACTGCCGTCCTCGGCACAGCTGTATCTATTTCTGACACAATAGGCTGTGCGTTGCTACGTTCCACAGCCTTCTTTATTGTTCTATAGCTTAGCATGTGATTGCACCGCATAGCCACTCTCTGTAGTATATATACAGGCCTGTCTGAGCGTTGCAATACAAGTCGCTTTACTTCTGTCCTCCACAGACTGAGACTTACCCAGACTCAACCAGGTGAGCTTGACGTCGCCCGCCACTGTGTGCGGCAGCGCAGCTTTCACAGGTTATGAGCCCTGGGCTCGCTGGGGCCTGCGTCGATGACGGTAGCATCCTGCACCGCGTCCGCAATGCATTGAGACGGTTGCACTCTGCACCGACTCTGCGCCCTGGGTGCCCTGCTCGCCTGAAGCGTTGCCTTTAATGGCTTGACGCTGTGGTGGACAGCGCGTAACGCCTCTCGGCGACGCGTAGCACGGCTCAAGGCCGTTGCTCCACTGGTGATCTGCAGCGCTGTCATGCGCTGGTCGTTTAGTTGATTCATTACACTGACGACTGTTTCTTTCAACCAGATCTTACCAGCTCTATCAACACTCTACGCTACTATGTCGTCTGCTCTGTACCAGATCGCCGAGCTTACCGGTGCTAACTACCAGCACTGGGCCTCCGACATGCAGAACTACCTCATGGCGCACTCGCACTGGACTGCGATCGTCAATCCTCGTCCTGCTCTCTCTACGACTCCCAGCGCTCAGGAGCTCAGCGACGAGAAGGCCTGGGTCGACCACGACATGCAGGCTATGGGCTGCATTAATTTGCGCCTCTCTATGTCTATTCGCTCCAACACGTCGGACCTCACGACCGCCGCCGCCATCTGGCAAAGGCTGAAGAAGGACTACGGTTCTCTGGCTCTAGGCAACGTCTACCACGAGTTCTCTGCTCTGCTGGCAACAAACATCCCTGGCAACTCGCACCCCGCTCCCGCGCTCAACAAGATGCAAGCGCACTGGGACCGCCTCAAGGAGGTCAAGGTCGTTTCGACCTCTGCCCTCGCTACGGCTCGCTCCCATACTGCCACCGCCAGCATCTCTGCCGCAGGTTCTACCGCGATCCCTGCCACTGAGCCGCTCCCTGAGTGGCTCCTCGCCATGTTCATCATTGCCAAGCTCCCACTGCAGATGTCGTTCATCAGCCATCTGCAGCAGCAGAAACAGCCTGCCGAACTCGACGTCGACGACATCCGTCGTCAAGTCATCCTCGCCTACGACCAGAGGCAGCTCCACGCCTCGTCGAGCAAGAAGCCCAGCGACACCGCCAACAAGCTCAGCACTGTCAAGCGCAAGCAAGGCGATCAGTCTTTCTCTCAGCAGCAGCGCCCTAAGGGGCAGCAGCAGCAGCAGTCCTCGCAGTCGCAGCAGCGCCCTCAGGGGCAGCAGCAGCACTCGGACAAGCGCCGTCGCGGTCGCTCTGGCCGTGGCAAGGGCAAGGACAAAGGCAAGGGAAAGGCGTACGTCGCCGACTGCGACCACGATGTCACTATGGCGTCTGTGGCAGTCGCTGCTGACGAACCTAAGCCGGCTCCACGCCGTGCTCCCTCACCGTACGTTGCCGATCGTCGCATGTTCAAACCGGTTGTGAAGGTGACTGAACCCTCCACCATTTACCCTAGTGTGAATGGAGCGCTGAAGCTTGCTCGCGACTTAGGGATCAGGCCCATGCCCGAGCAACTGCAAGTCCTCGAGGCCACCGTTGAACAACGGCACGTGCAGACCCTCAACGAGGAGCGCGACGCCCTCCGCGCCGCCACGCTCAAACACCTACTCGAGTGCCCTGAAGAGGACACCTTTGAGAACCACCTCGAGCGTAAGCGCCGGATCGAGGCCGTCAACCGCCTCAAGGGGACATGGTGCTACGCCTACTGCGAGGCCAAACCCCCATGCCGGACGCAGGCAGACCACAATTTCTGTCCTGCCATTGAACCATTCTGCACCGCGGAGACGCCCTGCCGCACCTTTGCCGAGCACAAGAAGTGTCCGGCCCTCGGTCTCTCCTCCGTCCCAACGACAACGAGACCAGCAGGCGCGACGGGAGCAAGCCGAAGACCCTCACCCGGTACCAGCTCGGATTCTTCGCTTCGAGGAGTTCCCCCCACTCCGCCATTCCACGGAACAAGCGACTCGAGCAATGAGGAATGCGGAGCAATCAGCTCGGATTGGAGCCTGGCAAACGGCTCGCCGACCCTCGACTCCGATGAGGAGGCCCTCCGCGCCTTCAAGCGCGTCCGCCTCTCTCCCTCCTCTGACGGAGGATCATCTGACTCCTCTTGGACGCCCAGCCGGCCCAACCTTATGGACCGGATTTCGCCGCGCCCCACCGGCACCTCGTCAACGCCGCTCGCCAAGCGAATCTCCTCGCGAGCACCGACGCCCGAGTACGTCCCTCCCGACGCCTCCGACGACGAGTGCGACGACTTTGTCAGCATTGGGTCGCGGAGTGAATCACCTCTGGGAGATGATCCAGGACATGCTGGACCGTCCCGATGGTCAGGCATGACCGTCGATGACGATGAGGATGTTGGGTATGTCCCTTCCCATCCCTCTACACTAAACATCGCTAACTTATCTGCTGCGTCTTCGCGCGATAATATAGCCGCATGTAATATACTCTGCGATGATGTATTGTGTAGCAATAACAATTGTGTGCATTTGCTTTCATACTCTGCGTGCGCCGATTGTAAGGGAAAAGGAAAACCAAGCCAAGTCTTTTGGATGTGTGACTCTGGAGTGTCGTATCATTTCACAAATGATATAAACGACTTCATTGAGTATAAGCCATTCGATGTGCCGGTAAGGCTATCAACGGCAAATAACCACACCAACATGATTGGCGAAGGGACTGTAATCCTGAAAACCAAGAAGGATACCGTACAGATTACCGGAGTAAAGCTTGTGCCTGACATTAATATGCGGCTGCTTTCTCTTGGCCAGTTTCTGCAGAGCGACATGACTGCACTCTGCAATTCAGAGGCAGTAA